AGTATATTTGTCACAAGTGACAACGTCTATTATTACTAAATCATCTGTAACATTAAAAAAATACTAATTAATAATTGTACAAATAATTAATAAATTTTAATTATCCATATTCTATAATAATAAAAATAATTATATATATAATACATTAATTATTATATTCTCTTTATTGTTTTTGTAATTTTATTTATTTTTCTTACTTATTTTCCAAAATTCTCTGATTTTTGTCTCCTGGCAGGTATTGCATTTCCGCTTTTGCGAAAATGTTTCTACTTCATTTATGTCAATACTGTCTTTTCGTAGTTGCGTTTCTTTTATAAATAACGTCTGACATTGATGCTTTATCAATTCGCATTGGTTTTTACAGTAATCAACATATTTTACAGAGTAAAAGCTACTGCCAATTAATTTCAGAAACATTTCTCCTACATTACTCTCGCAGTCGACTATTATTTGTTCCAATCTTTTATTATAAGCAACGACTTTTCCATAACTAGCCATTAGTTGGGTTCTGCGTTTATAAGCTTCGTTATTAATACCGTGTTCGAAAAGATATCTTATCACATCAAAGAATTCATTTTCTTCAATTGTAGTAATCTACAAAAAAAGAGAATGACCTTAGAAAAATCTCTTATGGTTTGTTAACATTTTTTTTCTTACCATTTTCTTTAGGTTCTCATTGTCTATTCCAAGGACAAATAATGTTTGCACTAAACTATCAAATGAACATGAATTTAATAAACTGTAGGAAATGCCATTTATTTTGTGCGCTGTTAAATCAATATTTGACGAATGTTTAAATATGCCCACTTCAGTAGACTGCTTGCATTGTAATTTTTTAGAAATACGATCTTTCTGATGTCCTAAATAGAGAGGTAATTGTTTTTTTATACGTGCATTTGAAATATCTTTTAATATATTATTTTCGTTTTCATCGTTTTTAAAATATTCAGTTATCGACGTATTTATATCATATTTTTCTTCTTTAATATTTTCTTTATCACAGACATCTATAAAGTTATAATTACTAGTAACATCTATTTTTGGAGTCTTTTTTGTAATAATTTTTCCTTTCCAGTTTTCTTTCTCTTGAAGCTCCTGTGATTCTGTTACACAGATTTTATCTAATTTACATTGGTCTATTTTAGAATTAGCATCGACCAAGAGCATTTCACCAAATAAATGATCGATGTGTCTTTGGAGGAAAGTATCTACTCTTATTGTTTTATTTTTTACGTTTTTAAAAACTATATTTTTTATTTTATTTATTTCTCCTTCGCAACTTGCTGTCGATCCTCCCATGCTTCCGTAACCTATTTTGGTCTCTAATAACTTTGTCCATAATGGTAACAGCAAAATATCTTTTTTCAAAATTTTGGCAAATTGAATATTTCGATAGGCATTTGGTCTATCGGTTTCGTTCTTGGATTCTTTTTCTTTTATAATATTAAAAAGACGTAAATTAAAAGTATTTCCAAATATAGTTTAGCCAAATATATAGTATAGTTTACCTTTAAGATATCCTCCGTTTATGTTTTGCGGTATATAATGGTTGATATAATTTATTGCACAGGATTGCAATTGTCTTGTTTTCCAGAATAACTTTGCAAAAAATTCTTGATAAAGACCGGATCTAAATCTTAAATTTTTTCTGTAACTTGCTTTCTTATTTAGATTACGTCCGGTTCTTTTGTGCAAACGTTCTTCGATTATCGAATCAAACTCTTGTTTAGAAACAGAAATTTCAAACGTATCAGTTTCGTCATCTGTTATGAAACTTTCTGATCGAAATGACTCTAAACTCTTGTTAACTGATGATTCTGAGCTGTTATTAACTAAGGAGTCTAAACTCTTGTTAATTGATGTCAAATTTATTTCATTGTTTAGTAAAATATCCTTAATATTATAAATATTGTTGCAGGCATATGTATACAAAGAAAATGAACTTATTGTCTCGTTCATTTCTTTTGAAATTAAAAGCCAAATCATACTATCTCTTTTGGACATATTTGATTATTAACGACAATATCATTTTTATATTTTTCGAAACACTTTTTTAATAGTTCCACATTAACTTTAGGCGGCCTTCCTCTTTTTCTAATCATTTTAATTTGTTTAGCACTGGATTAATACGTGATTGATATAAGTTCACTTTATATTTTTGCTTAAACACTCAATCGAATTTCGGAGCTTTCTTCGGACTGCACCGCAGCTAAACTTGGTCCCGACTGAAAAATACTGTGCCACTCGCTAAAAACAATCAAATACCGCGAAAAAAGGACTGTCGCTCTTCTTTCGAAGAAGAAAAAAATTCGTCGAATAACAGAAGAACTAACACCAGCAATACTATTTTATAAATTATAGTTTATATATCACACACACAGACACACACAGACACAGACACACGCATCATTTTAGAGATTAATATTACATTTATCTATATTATGTACACAACACACACATACATACAAAATTATAGAAATATAAAAAATAAAAAAGTTATATTATTCACAAATAGACTTATATAATAAATAAAATATATACATTTTTTATACTTATTTCGCGAGCACAAAATCGAAACCCGGATATCTCGAAAGCAAATAATTCGGGAAACATTCTGATGCCATTATTATGCGAGCAACTAATTACTTTGAGGCACTTTACTCTTGTACCGCGCGGATCGTTTTTATCCGGTTTTCTACACTTATTTCGTGAGCAAAAAATTCGAAACCCTAATATCTTGAGAGCAAATAATTCGAGAAACATTTTTATGTCATAATTATGCGAGCAATTAATTACTTTAAGGCACTTTATTCTTGAACGTCCTATTTTATTCTTGATTATTTTTAAAAGTTGGAGCAAAAAAATTATTTTCTAAAGTAAAAAATAGCAAAAAATTTTATTATTAATCTTTTGCTTTTATTTATGTAAATGCTATTTTTTACAATGGCTAAGATAGTTTAATCTTAAGCTATCTAGCCCTCTGTAATTTTTAAAAATTGGAGCAAAAAAATTATTTCTTGAAACAAAAAATAGCAAATAATTAGCAAATAATTTTCATATAAGATTCATTTTGTTCTGATAATTTGGCTCAGACAGTTTAATATACCTACTTATAATCAAGAGGCGTTCTGTGTTTGTCTCGCGAACAGCGACAAAGAACACCGCGCCCGTAAGTCGATACGGGTTCGGGCGTGTTTACCATAACAGCAATATAAACATCGAAGCGACGTAGCGGCTATTATTCTTTGTTCTCGCGCGTTCTTTGTAACGAGTCATCAAGATGACGGAACGCGTGAAGATAATAAATCGAAAACGTATTACGTTAAAAACGCAGATAACCAAACTGGAAAAAATTTTTGCGGAAGCAAAATTTGAACCCACAAATATAAAGGCGCGTTTCTCCCGCATAAAGAAATTGTTTACCGCATACGAGGATTTGCATGATGAGCTCGCGCTATTAATTGAGTCAGATAATGATGCTCTTTTAGAATTCGACGACATATAAGATCGGTATTACGCGCTTGTCGCGAAATTTGAGTCGCTTTATCCGTCGACAAATACGCAACGCGCAAATGAATTAAATACTACATCAGTAATAATCGATCAAGGGACGCGTCGAATCAAACTTCCGCATGCCGATTTACCTAAATTCGATGGCGATTTTAGCAAATGATTATCTTTTAAAAATACATTCGTCGCGATGATTGATTCATGTATTGATATGAACGATTTACAGAAATTTGCTTATCTCAAGGGCTGTTTACAGGGTGACGCGTTAAATAAAATTTTTATTTGCGACATAAGCGAAGAAAATTATAAAACAGCTTGGAAATTAATGCTCAATTCGTACGACAAACCACGCATTCTAATCGTTAACCATCTCGATTCGATTTTAGATTTGCCGGTACAAACGAAGGCCACACATAAGAGTCTTTCGAAACTCATCGACGACATGCGTCAACATGTAAACATGCTCGCAACATTAAATATAGAACTCGGCGAACATTTATTAGTTCGAATATTGGAACGGGCATTACCGAATCACATTCGCGCGAAATGGGAAGAAACGCTTGATTCAAATTTAACACCGACACTCGATCAAATTTACAAATTTATTTCGGAAACTGTATATCGTTTGTATTCATTTGAACAAGATAAATCGCACGTTAAATCGGAAGAAAACAAGAGACCATTTGGCGGGAAAGATTTTAAAGCATTAAAAATGCAAAGGACAAATCAAGGCGCGCGTACCTTAATAACTAAAACGTCAACAAACAATGCGAATTGTCCGCTGTGCAAAAGAAAGATGCATTACGTATACAAGTGTCTCGAATTCATAAAAATGACGATACGACAACGTCAAGATTTCGTGAAAAGGACATCGTTGTGCAGAAATTGTCTGCGTACACATCAAGGCAGATAGTTATTTTCACATTGCAGAAAATGTGCGAAATTTCATAATACCCTTTTACACGAAGAATCCGCCAAGTCGGAAACGACATCGACCAAATTTAAGAAAGACGTCTGATAACATTGCGAAGACAAAAACCGAATCAGCATGACGAGACGTAATCGCTCATAGCTTTACGGCACAGATTTTACAATCGGAATTAATATTAAGCGCACAAATGCGAAATAAAGATTTAAGCGGTAATTTCGTAACATGCCGTGCATTATTAGACACGTGCTCCACGGCACATTTTATTACGACAGATCTTGCAGCAAGATTGAAATTACCGATACGTTCATGCGTTCTTCCTGTAGGCGCGATCGACAACATGAATACTTTTGCTAGAGGCATTGTCAAGTGCACATTCTATTCACGGTTTAACGACCTTAACAAAACTCTTGAGTTTTTAGTGATTCCTAAAATTTCCGATAGGACTCCAAACGAAATGTTTCCGCGCAAATCAATTAACATACCGCGAAATATAAATTTGGCTGATCCACAATTTTATCTGCTACAAAAAATCGACATGCTTATCGGCTCGAGAGCCACAATGTCGTTATTATCAATCAGACGAATTGATTTATCACGCGACGGTCTTGATCTGTTTCTACAGAAAACACAGCTTGGATGGACAATCGCTGGCGGAACGACAAAAGCCATAAATGGCAATCAAGGGTTTTGTCAATTAACTGAATTAAGAAGACAAATTGAAAAATTTTGGCTACTCGACGACGCGAACGCTTGTCAAATCAAAACGATAGAAAATAACGAATGCGAAATGCACTTCGTGAAAAATGTTACACGCGATAGTTCAGGACGCTACACGGTTCGTCTGCCATTTCGTATACAAAATCCCGAAATTGGAAATTCTCGATCAATAGCGTTGCGACGTTTCGTCGAAATACAAAGAAGACTCGATTCTGATCCAGAACTCAAACGCGATTATTATCGAGTCATGAACGAATACATCAAATTAGGTCATATATCGCAAGTTACCGACGAGTCTCTCAGCGGTTATTATCTTCCGCATCATGCAGTCATAAAGGCCACAAGCGCAACTACAAAAACGCGAGTAGTTTTCGACGCCTCCGCGAAATCGAGTAAAGGTATTTCCTTAAACGATACTTTGATGGTCGGTCCGACCATTCAATTAAAATTATTCAAACATCTCGTGCGTTTTCGTACGTTCAAATACGTATTGACGGCCGATATAGCTAAGATGTATCAACAAGTTTGAATACATCCGGACGATAGTAGATATCAACGAATTTTTTGGCTTCACGTGGACAAAATTCAAGTTTTTCAATTAAATGCGGTAACATTCGGTGTATCATCGGCGCCGTTTTTAGCTATTCGGACAATACAAAAACTCGCCAGCGATGAAAGCTCAAATTTTCCGATAGGAGCAAAGATCTTGCACAATGATTTTTACGTAGATGATTTACTATCAGGCGCAAAATTCGCTTGAAGAGCTTATTCACTTTCGCGATGAAGTCATTGAAATATTGAAATGCGGTGGTTTTGATATACGCCAATGGGCATCAAATCATCCGCGAGCTTTAGAAAATCTACCGGAAAGACTTAACGATCTAGAATTACTTACTGATGAAAATCCGATTCGAAAAACGTTAGGCATCTCCTGGAATGCGCAGCGCGATGAATTATTTTATACGGTCAAAACTATTGAGCGTCCCGAGAGGATTACTAAACGATTCATTTTATCCGAAATTGCTAAGATTTTTGACCCTCTCGGCCTACTTGGTCCGGTCATGCTCATTTCTAAAATCCTTCTGCAACAATGCTGGAAGGCAAAAACAGATTGAGACGAATCCGTCCCCCATGCATTACAAAATGCTTGGCAGTCCTTCTCGGAACAGCTCGCATTAATTGATAATTTAGAAATAAATCGACACGTACTGATAAGCGATCCGATCGATATTCAACTTCACGGATTTTCCGATGCCAGCAAGGCCGGTTACGGAGGTTGCATATACGTACGTTCAAGTAATAAAGATAACGAAATTCTCGTGCGGCTTTTGTGTTCTAAGAGTCGCGTCGCACCGCCCGCGGGACAGACCATGCCTCGTCTAGAATTATGTGGAGCGTTAATGCTCGCTCAACTTTACAACGAAATACATGCGATACTCACGTTTAAACCTAATAAGATCATATTTTGGTCGGATTCCACGATAGCGTTATCATGGTTAAACAAGCATCCTAGCGAATTAAAACAATTCGAAGCAAATCGAGTACGAGAAATTCAGAAAGTTAGCAAAGGAATCGAGTGGCGACATGTTCGCACGGAACACAACCCAGCGGACGCGTTATCAAGGGGTCAACTACCTCAAGAATTTTTAAACAACGAAACGTGGTTTCAAGGTCCATCGTGGCTCTCGCAATCGGAAGCCGAATGGCCGCACTCCATCGTAACACATACAGACGACTTGCTCGGAATAAAGAAGATAACATGTCTAACAGTACAAATTCATTCCGAAGAGATATTAGAAAAATTTTCGTCGTATACTAAATTAATACGAGTAGTCGCCTATTGCTTACGATTCTTGCGTTCTAACAAAAACACCGGCGTTTTATCAATCAACGAGATAGAGGAAGCCGAACGACGTATTGTAAAGCTCATACAGCAGACTCATTTTCAAGACGAAATAAATCGTTCATTAACGTGCGGAAAAGTAAAATGCACAAAGCTTGGATTGTTAAACCCGATAATTAACAAACACGGTTTGTTGAGCGTCGGAGGACGAATTCATAAGGCCAACATATCGTCTGATCAGAAACACCCAATTCTTTTACCGTCTTGCAACTACGTCACGAATCTCTACATTCGGTACATTCATGAAAAATTTTATCATACCGAAATACAATCGACACTGTATAACGTTCGACAACGTTTCTAGATAATCGACGGTCGCAATCAAGTACGTAGAGTCATTCGTCGTTGCGTCAGATGTGCACGTTTTCGTTCCGAGAACGCGAAATACAAAATGGCAGATTTGCCAAAGGCAAGACTCGATAACGTAGCTCCGTTTTATCACACGGGCATCGATTATTTTGGCCCAATTCTTGTCAAGGAGAAAAAGCATCGTAATCGCAGTAGCATCAAAGTCTACGGGTGTATATTCATATGCATGTCAACCAAGGCTATTCATATCGAAATCGTAACCGATTTATCAACAGATGCTTTTATAGCATTTCTGAAAAGATTCGTCAGGTGTTCCGGCGCATATTTACTCGGACAATGGAACCAATTTCGTAGGCGCGAAAAATCAATTTCGCGAACTTTACGCCCTAATGGGATCCGAGGAATTTTGTACTCAATTGCATGAGTTTACCTTAGAAAACAAGATCGAATGGCATTTTAATCCACCGAATTCGCCACATTTTGACGGCCTCTGGGAGGCCGCTGTGAAGTCGAGCAAGCACCATTTAAAACGGGTAATGCGCGATCTCTTGTTTACATACGAAGAATTGAACACTCTAGCGGTAGGAATCGAAGCAATTTTGAATTCGAGACCTTTATGTCCTCTTCTTACCGATCCAAACGATCCAATCGCATTAACGCCTGCACATTTGCTTATTGGCAGACCTTTCACAATGCTGCCGGAAAATGATTTCTCTTGTATTGCAGATAATCGCTTATCATCATGGCAATTAATTACAAAGATTCGACAAGAATTTTGGCGACGATGGCAATTAGAATATTTAACGGAATTGCAGAAACGACAAAAATGGATTAAAAAGGATGTTAATCTGAAACTAAACTCTATTATCTTACTAATTGACAAAAATCAACCCTGTATGCAGTGGAGACTGGGACGGGTGGTCGAGTTACATCCGGGGGGCGACGGCATGGTCAGAGTGGTCACGATTAAAACCTCACATGGAACATTCAAAAGAAATGCGACTTCTCTCTGTCCGTTACCTACGGACGCCTAAGACTTTAATTTCATTTATTATGTAATCAAGAAGATGTAATTTTTATTTTTGCTTTCAACGATTTAAATTATTTAATATTTAAACGACAATGCGTAACAACAAGCGATTGCTTTGCAAAACAGTCGTCTTGTTGTTTGAAATTTATGCGACAACTATAACAAACGTTATTGTTAAGAATCGAACGTCCGCTGCATGCACAGACGCACACCTAGACGAATTCGTTTTGCTCGTTGCATTCCCAACGGGGGGAGGATGTTTGGTGAATGGCGAATATATTTATGCGAAATATTCACGAGTCTAATGATTAAGTTTAATTTAATTTTTCCCGTTTGAAACAATGAATATTCGTTATTCTTAATATTTAGTTTATTGAGTTTCGTTCTATACTAATATACGACGGTCGGTAATTAATGAGCGCATAGATAAAAAGCTCTCTCGGCCGCTAGTACGACAGCGCCAATCAAAAAATATCGCGCTACAGCGCGACAGTGTGTGCGTCTTGTGCGTGCAGGATTCATTCGAGAAGTAGCGTCCAACGTGTGCACACGTGCGAGTCGTTCTTTCTTTGTGTTTCTTACTGAACGTATCGGAAAGGAATAGCGGAGTAAGGTAGCGAGCCAATTATTCTTAGTTTTGAACTGTGTCTTTATTTTCACTGATTCTCTCTCGAGATCCGCTCCCGTACTGGCACTAGAATTGGGCTGGTATCGATGAACCATCGATTTAGGTCCGCGATGATTGGATATTCGCAGGTCGCGCGACATTTCGACCAATCCGACGAACGTGATTTTGAATAGAGAGAGGTCGTGGAATGTGGGTTTTTGCATGTTTTCGCGGATAAGATTTGAACCGTATGTGGCAAATAATATCATAAAACATTCACGTGCCGGAACATACCGCCCGCCTCGTATTGACCGATACGAAAGCAGATCTCTACGATTAAATATAATGAGATCGTAGCATTCGGTACAAAAGTATCTGTTCGCAAATTTATGTGAACATTAATCTGAAATGTAAAGCAATAGGAATGAACAATTTTCAAATGAGACGACTACATTACTTAAGAATATAGTTTACAGCGTTATGGCTTACTTATGAGATACGGAGAAGAAGAAAAGAAAAGAAAAACACTTATTTAATAGATGCTGCGTTACGATCAAACGGTACAGGCAGGCGACAAATCTGCACTATTGGACGTTTATATACTGCATTGGTAGTTCTGAGTGTGACTACTCTTACGCGATCGTCGGAACCCGGATGTATTTCTTGTACACGAGCCAGAGCTCACTTAGATGGGGGTAGTAACGGATTTTTTAAAAGTACTAACTCGTTGACAGCGATATCCTTTCGTGGCTCTGCCCACTTTTTTCTCGCCTGTAATGATAACAAATAATCGTGCGTCCAGGAACGCCAGATCTGTTCCTGCATCGACCTCACGAATTGCCATCGAGACAATCTGTTGTTTTCAATATCTAATACGGATTCCTCCGGCACTGAAACAATAGGTCTACCTATAAGAAAATGACCGGGGATCAGGTACGCAAAATCATTTGGATCGTCACTCAAGGCCGCGATTGGACGTGAATTCAAACAAGCTTCAATTGAGCAGAGAAGTGTTGAGAATTCTGCTTTAGACAGGGTACGCGATCCGGCTACGCGGCGGAAATGTCTTTTAAAGCTTTTTACTCCGGCTTCCCAGAGACCTCCGAAGTGAGGTGCTGAAGCGGGAATAAAGTGCCACGTGATGCCATCGTTTGTCAAAACATTCTTTAATTTTGGATCAGAAGTTAAAACCGAAAAGCTTTTCGAGAGTTCGCGGTCGGCGCCTTGAAAATTTGTACCGTTGTCACTGAACATATGCGATGGAAGGTCGCGACGACTGGAAAAACGGCGGAAAGCTGCTAGAAAGCTCTCGGTAGAATAATCATCTACATTGAAAACAAAGTGATAAATATAAGGCCAACTTATCGAGCTGAATATTCGAGATGTTCAGTCAACTACCATTTATTACATGTATAAATTACATGTATAAATTATAAAACTACAGTCATTATATTAAAACTAACGCAAATTACAATCATTCTATAAACGTTTCGACCGCACGCGGTCTTCTTCAGTATAATTATTGAAATATAAATTCATACAATTCACATAATGTCGAAATTTAATTATAGTTATTCAGAATCGAGAGTTTTTGAGCAATTAACGCGTGTTCTAATCCGTCCTGTCCAACAATGTTCGCCTCGATATGATCTCTGATTTTGTTCAGATCTCGGATAGTTTCATCGTTAATATGCGAGAAATTAACCCGTTCCGTAAGCGCTGCGATTAATAAAAAATTACCGATCAACGTATGTCCAAATTATAATATATATCCCCTACAATTGGTAGTATGCTTACCTATCATCGTCCTTCTTGACAATTTTGCCACTTATTAACAGTTATTAAGGATGACACATAACAAACCAACAATACAGAAAGACAGCTCATTTTAAACTCTACTTGATCGGAGAGCGTGCGTGTTTATATATGATCTAATATCTATGTTTGACTCGTTAATGTCCTATTTGTCCTATTATTATTTATTGTTCGCTAATATATCCAAAATATCAAAATACGACTCGCTAAGTAACTCAGTATCTTTGTTTAAATTTAGTCCATTTTTTGTTCCTTGATATGTAGCATCTCAGAAATGAGTCTTTTATAATAATTATTTTCGTTGTCTATGATCTTAACATTGTCCCAATTAAAAGTATGATGTTCATTTCTTATGTGTTCAGAAATTACTGAATGTTTCGTTGAGTCCAACCTAATATTATTTTATGTTCTTTTATTCGCGTCTGCAATTGCCTCTTTGTTTGGCCTACATAAGATGCATTACAATTATTGCAACTGATCTTATAAACCACATTCGAATTGCATGGATGTTTAGTTTTATCTTTCTGTGCTTTAATAATATTATCCAGTTTGTTGAGACATCTATACCCTACCATACAATTTTTATTTTTTACCGAGGAAACAATCATTTCTGAGATCCTATCTATATACGGAATGACAAAGAATTTTTTATTAACCGAGTCATTTCCTATACTTTTTGTTCTTTTTATGTTGGCCTGTCTCTCTATAATGCTCCCCTTAGATATGATGTGTTCTATCCGATGATTAATTTTATTAAAAATCAGATCAAGAGGGTAACCATTGCTTCTGAGTATATTAATAATTAACTCCAAATTTTTATTGAAAAATAGTGGATGTGATAGCAATAGACATCTGTCTACAAGGTTATATATTATTCCAATTTTGTGGCATAATGGGTGGTTTGAATAAAATGATAACGTCCTTCCTGAGAAGGTTTCTTTTTGATACCAGTCTATGTATATTTTGTTATTAATAATTTTAAGTGATAAATCTAAGAAATTCAAGCTATGATTAACCTCTTGTTCGACCGTGAATTTAAGTCTTTCATAATAGTTGTTAAAATTATTCACAATCTGAGTCATATTAGTCATAGAGGTGGCCACTATTATGTCATCCACATAACGAAAATAAAACAAACATTCCAAATTCAACGCTTTGAGAACTGTATCCTCAAGATCTTGCATAACCAGGTCTGCAATAATTGGTGATAACGGTGACCCCATAGGGGTCTGTTTATAAATTATGTCATTAAATGTAAAATATGTAGAAGTCAATATGAATTTTATACCCCCCAAAAATTCGTTTTTCGGTATTCTAGTATTTATTCCAATGTGATCCCATCTATCGTTAATACCGTCAATCGCAAGATCCAGAGGAACGTTCGTAAACAAAGACACCACATCCAAGGAAAACATCCTATCATTCTCATCAATCTTTTTACCAGACAATATGTTGTACAAATCAAAACTATTATTAATATGACTTTTCGCTTTGGGTAGGCTAGTTCGTAAGGTGTTTTGTAAAAACGAAGCCAGCGAGTATAGAGCTGTATCAACCGATGAAACTATGATTCTAACTGGATAGTTTTCCTTATGGATTTTAGGTAATCCATACGCTTTTGGAAGGAGAGAATCACTACAACGTAATTTATAATATTCGTTTTTTGAAATATAATCTTCCTTAAGCCATCTCTTCAACAAATCATTCAAATCGTTCTCTATTTTTTTGCACGGATTTTTTTTAACAATAGTGTAAGTGTTGACATCTTTTAAAACATTTTCCATTTTGTTAATATAATAAGATCTTTCCATTGCAACCGTAGCATTACCCTTGTCCGCGCGTGTGAATAGAACATTCGGATTGTCTTTACAAAATTTTATTAAATCTCTGTGTGCACCAAGTAATTTTTGTTGACTTACGTCATTTTTATCCTTAGTGTTGAGAAGTTGTGCAAATTTCGGAACCGCGATATTTCTGATTGTTGTGAGATTATTAATATTATTTCGTTTGTTATTACTCTCTATGTCCTTGATAAATTCATGTATCGCTGTTTTTTTATTAATATTCGGAAGACAGAATTTATCACCCATTTGCAACAGATTAGAAACGTTAGGCGGAATATCTGTGTTGGACAGATTAACAAACCATTTTTTATTAGTATTTTCCAAAGAATTAATTGTATCATTGAGAAATTTGTTGGCTTCTATGTGTATATTGATCTCCTTGGCATCATTAGTGATTGCCCTGAGAGAATTTTGTGATATTTTTGTCGGTTGTGAAGTTTCAACAATAAATAATAATAGGACAAATAGGACATTAACGAGTCAAACATAGATATTAGATCATATATAAACACGCACGCTCTCCGATCAAGTAGAGTTTAAAATGAGCTGTCTTTCTGTATTGTTGGTTTGTTATGTGTCATCCTTAATAACTGTTAATAAGTGGCAAAATTGTCAAGAAGGACGATGATAGGTAAGCATACTACCAATTGTAGGGGATATATATTATAATTTGGACATACGCTGATCGGTAATTTTTTATTAATCGCAGCGCTTACGGAACGAGTTAATTTCTCGCATATTAACGATGAAACTATCCGAGATCTGAACAAAATCAGAGATCATATCGAGGCGAACATTGTTGGACAGGACGGATTAGAACACGCGTTAATTGCTCAAAAACTCTCGATTCTGAATAACTATAATTAAATTTCGACATTATGTGAATTTGTATGAATTTATATTTCAATAATTATACTGAAGAAGACCGCGTGCGGTCGAAACGTTTATAGAATGATTGTAATTTGCGTTAGTTTTAATATAATGACTGTAGTTTTATAATTTATACATGTAATTTATACATGTAATAAATGGTAGTTGACTGAACATCTCGAATATTCAGCTCGATAAGTTGGCCTTATATTTATCACTTTGTTTTCAATATACGAGCAACAATTTGTATTAATTTATCATCTACATTTTCTAAGTGGATAGCTTTTGTAGCTAAACACACGAACAAGGCTACATAAGATTTCGTGGTTTTTTGTCCTCGTCCCACATGTGGCGTGACTAGGAACGGTCCAGCGTAGTCTACGCCGGTGTTCGTGAACGGAGAGGAGCGTGTTACGCGAGCAAGCGGGAGATCACCCATGAGCTGGGTGGGAGAGAGAGCGGCATAACGTGCACAAATGACGCATTGTCGGATGTGAGCTTTATCAAATTACGTGCACCGATTATCCAGTATCTTTGTCTGAGGACGCGCAAGGTTACTTGCGTGCCTCCGTGGAGGGTAGCTTTGTGGGCTTGATCGATGAGTAAATTCGTAATGTAATGTTTAGGAAGCAAGACAGGGTGCTGTTCGTTATAACTCAGCGCGGCGTTTTTTAACCGCCCGCCGAGGCGGATTAGTTGGTCTTCCCCTATGAATGGAACGAGCATATATAGGACGGAAGAGTGTTTGACTGAGGAACCGTTAGACAGAGCATGCCATTCGGCGGAAAAATGCGATTGTTGAACTCGGCGTAACCAAAACGTAGTCGTATCTTGGAGTTCAGCTACCGTTAAGAGAGAGGAGAGAACAGGAGCGCGTGAACAAATTTTTTCTCTTAAATTTTTGACAAAACGTCGTACGTAAGCTGTGACTCTTATCAACTTTGTCCAACTGGAGCAACTAGTAGGAAGCGTCCATTCTGGATCACATTCAATGTGATAGACGGTCGTAGGGCGCGCCTCAGTTTGCATCTGATTCATAGCAAATTGATCTAGAGGAGTTGACTCATGTATGGGCCAGACAGTCGAAGGCTTTTGCAACCATAAAGGGCCTGACCACCAGAGTTTGTGAGCCACTAATTCTGATGCAGAGATACCCCGGGAGGCGCAATCAGCCGGATTATGTTTAGATGACACGTGATTCCAACGAATAGTAGGAAGAGTCGTTTGAACTTCGGAGACTCGATTTGCGACATAGGTTTGCCATTTTGACGGGTGTTGTTTGAGCCACGCCAGAGCGATTGTGGAGTCTGTCCATCCATAAAGTGGAATGTGAAGCAGATTTAACGAATTTATTATCCATTTCATCAAGCGACAAAGAAGCACGATCGCGTTAAGTTCGAGTCGCGGAATACTTACAGATTTGATCGGAGCGACTTTGGTCTTTGCCGCGAGCAAACTTATTTGAAAACTGTCAAGCAAATGAAGAACTCGTAAATATACTACTGCCGCGTAGGCGCGATTGGACGCATCGGCAAATCCGTGTACTTCCATTCCGAGATTATTCTTTGAACACCCAGTTCATCTGGGAATGCGAGCAGATTTTAACTGAGGTAAATCGGAATAATAATCGAGCCATCGTTGTTTTAAATTTGGGGGAACTGGATCATCCCAATCACTCTTGAGCAGCCAAAGTTCTTGCAAGAGGATTTTGGTCGTAATAATGATAGGAGATGCCCAACCGAGAGGGTCGTATAATTTAGCGACAATTGAGAGTATAGAGCGTTTAGTTAAGTCTCTTTGCGGAGAGGGAGAGATCACGAAGTAAAATGAATCTTCTTTGGACGACCATGATAAACCGAGAACTTTAAGATTATCGTCTTTTATCAACAAATTGTCAATTGAATCTTGTTGTACGGTAGAAAGGTCTTTCAAGAGTTCGGTGGAATTCGCAGTCCATTTACTAAGCCGAAATCCTCCGCGTCGCAATAATTCTATTAACTGATCACGTGCTTCACGTAGTCCTTGCATGTCGTCATCGCCGAACAGCATGTCATCAACATAAAGCGAATTTTTTAATATTGAAACAGCTTTGGGGAACGAACAGCCTTCATCTTTAGCGAGTTGTAGGAGCACGCGTAAAGCTAAATATGGCGAGGAGGCGAGACCGTATGTTACGGTAAGCAGTCGGAACGATTTTATCGGCGAATCAATGTTAGGTCGCCATAGAATGCGTTGGAAGTCAGTATCAATCGGATCGACTAGAATTTGACGGAACATTTTTTGTATATCGGTCATATAGACATAACACCATTGACGCCATCGTAAAATTAATGCCGCGGGATCCGCCTGTAATTTCGGACCGATCAACAAATGATCATTCAAAGATGTACCGTCTCGCGTTTTACACGATGCATTAAATACAACGCGCAATTTTGTCGTAAGGCTGGATTTGCGTAATATAGCGTGATGCAGAATATACACGGGATTTGCTATGTTTTTCTCTTTATCGTCGACCTGCTTCATGTGCCCAAGGAACTCGTATTCTCGCAAGAAATCATTATATTGTGTACTTACATCTCGCTTGTTTTGTGATTGTTTTTCATTACGATTATACAATGAACGAGCTATTGACAAAGATTCGCCAATGTTTATCGGAGGCTTCTCCTTGAAAGGTAGACGAACGACATATCTACCGTCGGGAGTGCGTGTATGCGTGTTTTTAAAATGTTCTTCACATTTTGTTTCTTCGGCGGTAAGAGGAATATTATGAGGGACTTCCTCATCCTGCCAAAACTTGAGAAGAATAAGATTGGTATTAAGCGACGATTCGCAATGTAATACGGAAGCGTTTTCCGGTGAGCGTTCAGTACTTGTTGTGGGCCCTGATAATACCCATCCGAGAACTGTATTCTGAGCAGTCGGGGTACCTAACGGACCTTGCCTTAAATCATTTAATAATAACGAGCCGTAGAGGTCTGCTCCTATTAACAAGTGAATGGGATCTTTGCTTGACGGGTTTGGATCCGTAAGCGTTAGATCTCCTAAGTGAGACCAATTTTTGAGAGGTTGAATCTGAGAAGCGGAGTATGACGTAATTTTCTGGTATACGTACGCGACTAGCGGAAAGAGGGGAGTCTTGAGCGAACAAGGTGACATATTTAGCGTGACGCGTGATCTCGATTTACCCGTATATTTTTCTCCGAAGCAACGTATTTGTAGATCAGCTTGATGTCGTTTAGTACGCATATTTTGACATAAAGACTCTGAAATAAAACTGTACGTAGACCCTTGATCTAGTAACGCGCGAACTCTAAATCTACGACCCTCGTTAGTATGAAGGTCAACCCAAGCTGTTGCTAGGAGGATGTGCGGGGGCGTTGAAATTTGAGTCGTCTGTACCGTTTGAACATTCGCGACGGCATGTGTTTCCGTGACGGTGTGTTCGCCGTGCGGTATTTGAGCACCGGCGGAAGAAACTGACTTTTGCAAATCAGAATCGAGGGGAGCTTCACGCGTTTTGCCATGTAATAATGAATGATGCATGCGACTACAGTGTTCGCATCGCGTCGTACTTAAACATTTCGAAGTAAAATGCCCGGATTTCAAACATTTAAAACATAATTTATGCTGTCTTGCGAGGCTATTTCGTTCGCTAATAGATTTTGAACGAAATTCTTTACATTGATGTATATAATGATTAGCAGCGCAATGTTCGCATTTTACTACGGATATGCTGTTAACTGAGGATTTATGTTTATATTGATTACGTGAATTGGCCACGCTATTATTTATATCCGATAAATCAGTCAAGCCTCGTATACGTAATGTCATAAAGTTGTTAATATCTTTGTACGTCGGAAGCTCAGAAGACATGCTACGTCTCAAATTCCATTCATTTCTTGTGCGAGGACTGAATTTCTGAACGATGAGGAATACGAGCAAGTCATCCCATTGCTCAACGGGACGATTTTGATTTTTTAAAGCCGCGATCGATGAGGACACTGTATCGCGTAGTCTTTTCAAATCGGTAACATTTTCCGTTTTCATGTTCGGCAAACTAATGAACGAATGAAGGTGAGCACACACTAATGTTTGTTTATCGTCGTATTCTGCTAATAATAATTGCCACGCAGGTTCGTAATTCGTTTCAGAAATTCTCAGATTTGCTATCAACTGAGCAGCGTCTCCCGCAACACTTGATTTTAAATAGTGAAACTTTTGCGTGTTTGTGAGTGAATCTTGATTTGCTACAAGCGATTCAAATGTATTTCGAAAACGTTCCCATTCTACTTGGATACCTGAGAATTTCGGAAGCGAAATACGCGGAAGTTGTAACGCAAAACTGTGAGGCGCATCGCGGAAAGAGATTTCGGTACTATTAAGACCCTGAGGGGGCTCTACTTTTACAAATCTACTTATCGCATCGTTGAAATAATCAGCTGCCTCGTAGTAGTTTTCTTCAGCATCATCGTACTCGTTGTTGATAAAGTAGGGTAGACTTTCCATTTTCTCCTTGGTGGCGGCAAGCGAAATTCTGGTATGAAGGAGTTGAACCTTTTCCCAGTACCCCTTCAAGTCAGCCAATCGACCTTTGATTTTTGGAAGTGTAACGTTGGTCTTGGAAAGTTTCTTAAAATTAATCAAGATCGTTTTGATTCGAACGAGCTGTTTAGATTGGTCCACTAGGAGCGAACGTAGATCATCTAACATCGTGACCAAGGAAATAACACACCGTTATAAGTGATAGAAAAAAAAAAGAAAAAAAAAATTTTTTTTTTTATTTATGCGCGACAGAACAGGCGCACAAATGTCGGAGCGGATAGCTGTCCAACTGAACGAATGAAGCTATGAAGCAAAACCACTATTTTCACTTCGTTTGTTTAAGTCGATTAGCAGTAATGACTCATCGGTTTATTCATAAATAACACCGTAACATTTGTCAAGAGCGAGGAACGAATGGCGCGGCACTGTCGCCGTCGTCCGACGGAACGCTCGCCGACGCGAACGCGTGATTAAGTGCGAATGAGACAGCACACTTTTCAAATGTTTGATATAGTGATTGCGAGCAATATTCACTCGCTTTGCACTAATTCTCGTAACAGTTCTGTGAGAAAATTAGAAAGAGAACACGAGTACGAGCGCGATTTGGCTGGCGATATGTCGCCGTCTCGAGAGAGTGAACAAGCTTGCGCGGTAACAATTTGCTTCAGTGATCGAGTGAGAGATCTGATGCTCCGAAACGCTGCGGCCACAGATTGCACAGATAACACCCTCACTTTTCTGTCTTACACATTTCACCTCAGTGGGCCCTTTTAAGATCGAGCCCCTCCTTTTTTTACTCACTTACTCCGCGACGTAGCACTAGTTTTAACAATCCGGCTCGAAGGACCATTGTTTCTTACTGAACGTATCGGAAAGGAATAGCGGAGTAAGGTAGCGAGCCAATTATTTTTAGTTTTGAACTGTGTCTTTATTTTCACTGATTCTCTCTCGAGATCCGCTCCCGTACTGGCGCTAGAATTGGGCTGGTATCGATGAACCATCGATTTAGGTCCGCGATGATTGGATATTCGCAGGTCGCGCGACATTTCGACCAATCCGACGAACGTGATTTTGAATAGAGAGAGGTCGTGGAATGTGGGTTTTTGCATGTTTTCGCGGATAAGATTTGAACCGTATGTGGCAAATAATATCATGAAACATTCACGTGCCGGAACACTTTGTGTAGCGATCATTGCGTGATCTGCTATTATACGTTTCTAATATACGTTTCTTATATATCAGTGCATAATCTGATATTATACGTTTCTTATATATTAGTGTATAATCTGATATTATACGTTTCTTATATACATTTCTTATACGTTTTTATATGTCATTGCGTGATCTGTTTCTAGTGCTACGTCGCGGAGTAAGTGAGTAAAAAAAGGAGGGGCTCGACCTTAAAAGGGCCCACTGAGGTGAAATGTGTAAGACAGAAAAGTGAGGGTGTTATCTGTGCAATCTGTGGCCGCAGCGTTTCGGAGCATCAGATCTCTCACTCGATCACTGAAGCAAATTGTGCGTTTGTGCGTTTCTTGTATTATGCGTTAGTCGCTCGCAAAATTCCAGAGTGTATGCGTGTATTACAACGGATCGTGCAGGCCGATCTTCGTGCCGAGCACGAAAAAGCAAGCGACATCCTTATACGATACACATACATTTCAAAATAAAATGGGTTTTTTATGCCGTACAGGCTTTTTCCCATTAAAAGTGTAGTTTTATTTTTCTACAAACTTGAAATACCTAATGACGAAAACGAAAGACAAAACATCGGTAGAACTTTTGAACCGCAAGAGTTTCTACCATACAAAATTCAAGGTGACCTTATTCTGACCTTAGTAACGCAATCCAAGGTCAAACTAATAAGATCAATTAATAGATTTTTTACAACTTTTGTCTGAAACTTTTTTTCTGTAAAACGTTATACTTTTCGAGATTTTTCAGTGTTCCGATCTTTTTGGGACACCCTGTATATGTATATATATACATACATATATATCGATTTATTTAGCAATTTGTCTTCTATCTATCGAAATATCTATCAATTTACCTATCTATCTATCTATCTATATATCTGTCTATCTATCTATTTATCTATAATATCTATCGATCTATCTGTCTCTATCTCTCTGTCTATTTTTTCTCTTCTATATTGCATTATTTCATACATGCACACGTATATAATAATTTTTTTTAAATAATCTACATTGCCAAAATAAAAATAATTAAATTTATAATCTAAAAATATATAAAATTCTTTTATGAATATGATTGATTATAAAGTTTTAGTGTATAATTTTTTGTAAGAAATAAATAATTTATATGATTTATTCTCATCTAACTACTGCTCTGTTTTAATAATAATAGTGTTACTATCTATTCAATCTCAAAAATACTCTTCAATCTCTAAAAATAAAATTTTATATAAATCATTTATTTATTACAAAGAATTATTTACTTTATAATCAATTATAAAAGATAGTCCTGTTTCTACACATACACACACACACACACACACATATATAACTTGTTAGCTAGAATGTGGACAAAAAAAATTTTTACACACTAATCTACATACATACTATAACCGTATCGCGCGGAATTCGCAGCGAATATCCATTCGTCGCGGAAGGAGAAAAGTCTCCTGCGGAATATCGGTTACCTTCGGCGCGATCTCTCTGTTCGATCACAAAAAAAATTTGCAACAAAAAAAATAATAAAGAGAAAACTAAAATCTCAATTTAGTTGGGCGCCAGGTGCGGCAGCCGCACCGTCTCTCAATTAATAAATTCGCGGGACGCTAAGTCTTAATTTCCTCGGACTTCTTGTCCAAGCCCTTTCGCGGGCGTCAATCACGGGAGAGAGAGAGATCGCGACGGCAACTTTCCCGCTCGGCTAGCCTCTGTGCGGGTAAGGGTTCGGGTGCGTGGCGGCGAGAAATCACCCTAGGAATTAAAGTTAATAAAACATATATTTAAATCTTGTTCATAAGACACATGAGTATATAATATACAGAAATAAGCGGCGTGCACAGACGCACGATTGAGAGTTCGGTGAGGCACTACGCCCGGTGGTTCACCGTGCCGAGTTATGAATAATCTTTAACAAATTCGCGGCAACGGGGTAGTGTCCCCAATAACAAAAAAAAGGATTAATTAAATCGGCGACGCGCCACCGGGTATATTGTTTCACGCCGCGGGCGCGTGATCCGCGCGGTATGCGCGACAACAAAGGGGCCGGCGTAAGGGCGCACCGCGTGCGCCGTACATAAATTCCACACACAAAATCAAACGTAATCACGCCTTTTCGTTTAAGCCTTTACAACTTCAATACTTTACAACATTAATACTTTACATTATCAATACTTTAAGGAGCCCGAAAGCGTTTATGAGCTCTTTGATTTTTCGCTTCGAACAATAATCGGCAACGCGTAAATCGCGGTAATTTTCGCGCGACAATGTTACGCGCGAAGACTGTCCACGCGGGAGAGAGAATATGCGGAAACGCGAGAGAGTGGATGGGTCGTAATTTCTCCCAATAGGGTCTCGTTACGTTACTAACGCGACTCGACAATAAACGAATCTCTCGCAAATTTTAAAACGGCCGGCAACTAAGTCCAGCGTAATCTATTAATGATAAATGATTCGGAACCCATCCACCCTGCTACCTTAATTCGGCGACAGCAGGATGACCACGTCGTCTCACCAGTCCTATGACGCTCCTTAGCGTCCTCTCCTTTCTCGCTCTCTCTGAGTTGCGCTTCCGTTCGGGACTTCTGCTCTCCTCGGGCGCTCGCTAGACAGTGCCGAACCGGGGGCCCTCAGGAGACACGTCGGTGACCCAATTACTTAGATAGGCCACTCGCGGCGCTATCAGGTCGGCCGCGCGCGCGGCCTCGGTGATCCTTGCGGCCGCGCGCGTAATTATCCTTACCCGCGGAGTCCTGATCCGCGGGTTGCCCCTCGTAGGCGGTCGTCGCGGCAGCGCACGGCAGGGCCGCTCCTTGCTCTCCTTCGGGATTCCGGATGTCCCGGGGGCGGCAGCTCTCCTGCCGGCACTCCGTATGCGGGGACTCGGGTGCTTGTTGCACCCGAGTGGCCATCCCCTGCTCGCTCCTGGAAGGTACAAATTTTGAGGCAGTGGCACCTACTCCGTTGTCGGATATTCGGTGAAGAAATTTTTGATCTTGGGCTTACCGAGCGTGTCCCTGACGAAGGGGGTCCCCGTCGTCCTGCTTCCCATGCTTTCCTATCTTTCCTCCAGGGTTTCTCTCTCGGCTGAGACTCGTCGCACATCCTGTCTGCCGCCGAAATAATCCTAACTCTCAAAACAAACTCCTAACAACAAAAAATATACGAAAACGCGTAGCAGCGGGATCGCGTCCGGTCCCGCGCTTTTCGCACGCACGCTCTCTCTCTCTCTCTCTCGCTATCTCGGGAGAGCAGAGGTCCCGTGCCCTCCCCCGATCGGGCCATTCAGCCCTTGTGACGGACAATTTCAATTTGTCACGTCACAATACATACATATATATACATATATATATATACATATGTTAGTGTGACAAAAATTTTTTTGTCCACATTCTAGCTAACAAGTTATATGTGAGTGTGTGTGTGCGTGTGTGTGTATGTCTATAACAGGCCTATCTATAATAATTTCAATTGATTATAAAGTAAATAATCCTTTGTAATAAATAAATAATTTATATAAAAGTGTTTTAGAGATTGAATATAATAATATTATTATTATCAAAACAGAGCAGTAGTTAGATACAAATAAATCATATAAATCATTTATATATTACAAAAAATTATCCACTAAAACTTTATAATCAATTATATTCGTAAAAGATTTTTATATATTTTTAGATTATAAATTTAATTATTTTTATTTATGTAATGCAGATTATTTTTAAAAAATTATATATACGTGTGCATGTATGAAAAAATGCAATGTAGAAAAGAGAGAAGAGACAGAGAGACAGATAGATCGATAGATAGATAGATAGATAGATAGGTTGATCAATAGATAGATCGATAGATAGTTCGATAGATAGACAGGCAGATAGCTAAATAAATCGATAGGTATGTGTATATATATATATTTTTTTATAAACATTTTTTACGCATACATACGCATACATACATACATACATACATACATACATA